TCCCAACAAAGAAAAACCCGAGTCCAGATAGCTTCACAGATGAATTCTACAAAACTTTTAACTCCAGTCCTTCTCAAACTCTTCCAGAAAACTGAAGAGGAGGGAACACTCCCAAACTCTCTTAAGGAGGCCAGCATTATTCTAATGCCAAAGCCATAGAATACTAGAAGAAAAGAAATACTAAGATAGCCAAAGAATAGTAGAAGCCAAAGAATACTAGAAGAAAAGAAAATTACAGGCCAGTATCCCTGATGGACCTAGGTATAAAAATTCTCAACAGGGCTTCCCTGGTGGCGCAGTGGTTGAGAGTCCGCCTGCCGATGCAGGGGACACGGGTTCGTGCCCCGGTCCGGGAAGATCCCACATGCCGCGGAGGCTGGGCCTGTGAGCCATGGCCACTGGGCCTGCGCGTCTGGAGCCTGTGTTCCGCAACGGGAGAGGCCACAACAGTGAGAGGTCCGTGTATGGCCAAAAAAAAAAAAAAAAAATTCTCAACAAAGTAGTAGCAAACATAATTCAACAGCACATTAAAAGGATCATACGCCATGATCAAGTGGGATTTATCCCTAGGATGCAAGGACGCTTTGACATACAAAAATCAATAAATGTGATACACCACATTGATAAAATGAAAGATAAAAATCATATGATCATCTCAATAAATGCCGAAAAATATGACAAAATTCAACATCTTTTAATGATAAAAATTCTTAACAAGTGGGTACAGAAGGAGCATACCTCAACATAATAAAGCCCACATATGACAAGCCCACAGCTAACATCATAGTCAAATGTGAAAGGTTGAAAGATTTTCCTCTAAGATCAAGAACAAGACAAGGGTGGGTTTCCCTGGTGGCGCAGTGGTTAAGAATCCGCCTGCCAATGCAGGGGACATGGGTTCGAGCCCTGGTCTGGGAAGATCCCACATGCCGCAGAGCAACTAAGCTCATGCACCACAACTACTGAGCCTGCACTCTAGAGCCTGTGAGCCACAACTACTGAGCCCACGTGCCACAACTACTGAAGCTCACGCGCCTAGAGCCCGTGCTCTGCAACAAGAGAAGCTACCGCAATGAGAAGCCTGCACACAACAACAAAGAGCAGCCCCCGCTCGCCCCAACTAGAGAAAGCCTGTGCACACAACGAAGACCCAACACAGCCAAAAATAAATAAAATAAATAAATTTATTTTTAAAAAAAAGAACAAGACAAGGGTGCCCACTCTCACCACTCATACTCAACATAGTACTATAAGTCCTTGCTGGAGCAATTAGGCAAGAAAAAGAAATAAAAGGTATCCAGATTGTAAAGGAAGAAGTAAAACTGTCTCTGTTTGCTGATGACATGATATTATATATAGAAAACCCTAAAGATTCCACCAAAAACTGTTAGAACTAATAAATGAATTCAGTAAAATTCATTTTTACTGAATATAAAATCAACATACCAAAATCAGTTGTGTTTTTATACACTAACGGTGAATTATCTGAAAAAGAAAACAGCCCCATTTACAATATCATCAAAAACAATAAAATACTTAGGAGTAAACTTAGAGCCAAGGAATTAAAAGATCTATACACTGAAAATTCTAAGACACTGACGAAAGAAATTGAAGACACAAATAAATGGAAAAATATCTCATGTTCATGGATCAGAAGAACTAATATTGTTAAAATGCCCATTCTACCCAAATCATCTACAGATTCAATGTAATCTCTATCAAAATTCCAATGATATTTTTCACAGAAATAGAAAAAAATTCTAAAATTTGTATGGATCCACAAAAGACTCCAAATAGCCAAAGCAATCTTGAAAAAGAACAAAGCTGGAGGCACCACACTCCCTGTTTTTAAACTATATTACAGGGACTTCCCTGGTGGTGCAGTGGTTAAGAAGCCGCCTGCCAATGCAGGGGACATGGGTTTGAGCTCTGGTCCGGGAAGATCCCACATGCTGTGGAGCAGCTAAGCCCGTGAGCCACATCTACTGAGCCCGCATGCCACAACTACTGAAGCCCGTGCACCTAGAGCCCATGCTCTGCAACCAGAGAAACCATGGCAATGAGAAGCCCGTGGACCGCAACGAAGAGTAGCCCCCTCTCTCTGCACCTAGAGAAAGCCTGCACGCAGCAACGAGGACCCAATGCAGCCAAAAATAAATAAATAAATTTACAAAAATAAATAAATAAGCATATTTCAAAGCTATGAAAATCAAAACAATATAGTACTAGCAGAAAAACAGATCAATGAAACAGAGTTGAGAGCCCAGAAATAAACCCGTGCATATGTGATCAACGAATATTTAACAAAGGAGCCAAGAATACTCAATGGGCAAAGGATAGTCTCTTCAATAAATGGTGTTGGGAAAACTGGATACTCATATGCAAAAGAATGAAACTGGACACCCCTTACACCATTCACAGCTCAAAATGGATTAAGGACTTAAATGGACCTGAAATCATAAAACTCCTAGAATAAAGCCCAGGCAAAAAGCTCCGCGACATTGGTCTCGGCAGTGATTTTGGAGGGTATGATACCAAAAGCATAAGAAACAAAAGCAAAAATAAACAAGTGGGACTACATTTAACTAAAAAGCTTTTGCACAGCAAAAGAAACAACAAAATGAAAAGGCAACCTACAGAATGGGAGAAAATATTTGCAAACCATATGTCTAATAAGGGGATAATATTCAAAGTCTGTAAGGAACTTATACAACTCAGTAGCAAAAAAAAACCCAAACAGTCCAATTAGAGAAAGAGAAAGGATCTGAATGGACATTTTTCCAAAGAAGACATACAAATGACCAACAAGTACATGAAAAGGTGCTCAACATCACTAATCATCAGGTAAATGCAAATCAAAACCAGAATAAGATTATCACCTCTCACCTATTAAAACAGCTATTGTCAAAAAGACAAGAGACGGCAAATGCTGGCGACGTTGTGAGAAAAAAGGAAACTCTTGTGTACTGTTGATAGGAATGTAAGTTGGAACAGCCACTATGGAAGCAGTATAGAAGTCCCTCAAAAAATTAAAAATAGAAGTACCATATGATCCAGGAATCTCACTTCTGGTTATACAGCCAAAGGAAATTAAATCACTATCTCAAAGGGATATCTGCACTCTCATGTTCACTGCAGCATTATTCACAATAGCCAAGACCTGGAAACAACCTAACTGTCCACTCACAAATGAATGGGTAAAGAAACTATGGCATATATACACAATAGAACATTATTCAGCAATAAAAAGGAAGGAAATCCTGCCATTTGTGACAATATGGATGGGCCCTGAGGACATTTTGCTAAGTGAAATAAGTCTCAGAGAGAAAGACAAATACTGTATGATCTCACTTATGTGTGTGTAATCTAAAACAGCCAAACTCATACAAGCAGAGAGTAGAACAGTGGTTGCCAGGGGCTGGGGGTGGGGAAAATCAGGAGATGTGGGGCAAAGGGTACAAACTTGCAGTTACAGAAGGAACAAGTTCCAGGGGTGTAATGGACAGCACGGTGACTACAGTTGATAACACTGTATTGTACACTTGAAAGTTGCTCTGAGAGTAAATCTTTTTATTTTTTAGTGTATCTATTTTAGTTATTTATTTTTGCCTGTGTTGAGTCTTTGTTGCTGCACGCGGGCTTTGTCTAGTTGTGGCGAGCGGGGGTTTCTCTTGTTGTGGAGCAGGGGCTCTAGGTGCATGGGCTTCAGTAGTTGTGGCATGCGGGCTCAGTAGTTGTGGTGTACGGGCTTAGCTGCTCTGCGGCATGTGGGATCTTCCTGCACCAGGGCTCGAACCCTTGTGCCCTGCATTGGCAGGCGGATTCTTAACCACTGTGCCACCAGGGAAGTCCTGAGAGTAAATCTTAAATGTTCACCATAAAACAACAACATGATGGGGATTATGTGAGGTGAAGGATATGTTAACTCACCTGCTTGTGGTAAAAACTTCACAATATATACATGTATCAAATTATCATACTGTACACCTTAAACTTCCATAGTGTCCTATGTCAATTATATCTCAATAAAGCTGGGGAAAATTTTATTCCCTAGCTGACGAGTGACTCACTGCGCCTAGACTGTTTATATAACAATGTAGCTGATGCTAAACACCTGCTTCCCTAGAACTTTGGCACATGATAGACAGAGGTGCCTCCATGACCAGCCCGCAGTAAAACCCTTGGGCGCTGTTTCTCTAATGGGCTTCTGGGCAGAAACATCACACACATGTTGCTACGTGTTCACTGCAGTGGGATGAGGGGCTCTGTATAACTCCTCACAGGAGGAGGAGGGCTGCATGTGAATTCCTCCAAACACTACCTGTCTTTCCCCTTATGATCTGGCTGTGTACCCTTACTACATCGAATAATAAATCTTAGCCATAAATACAACTGTATGCTGAGACCTGTGAGTTCTACCAAATCTCCTAATGTGGAATTGATCTCGGAGACCCTCAACACAGTAGGAAATGTGAATGGTGCTTACTTAGCACAGAACCTAGTACACAGGGAACCTCTCAGCTTGCAACGACCTTAGGGGATGTCTGGGTTGAGATGGGGGACGTGAGGAAGGAGACTTAAAAGTAATTGACAAGCAAACATCAAGCTGGCACTGTGTGTGCTGCAGGAAGAGGGGGACGACAGTTGGGTCAAGTGGGGTCACAGTGGGGGTGGAAGGTGGGATTATCTAGCCAGCACACTGCTTTTGGGTTCCTGGGTCCGTCGGCCTACAGCACATTGTTAACTAACAGGGCTGTGCTGAAACCTGCTCCCTGCTGATGCAGCTGGGGACGAAAGGGGACTAGGAATGTCTCAGAACTGTTTGAGGGAGCAGAATCATGAGTACTCCTCGGGCTCTAACCACACACTTTTCTTTCTTTATTGTCAAGGAGAGAAAAGAACAACTGCCTTGATGAAGAGGTGTGATGGCAAACAGGAACCTACCTGGGAAGACGTGTTTCTGGAATTGCTTTCCCCAGGAGAAAGTAGCCATCTCTCACCTGAAATCCACAGGCTCATCGTGTTACAGATGTCAGACTTGAATTCGTGAGTGTTGAACCAGGACTGAGGGAAGCAGCAGCAGAAGCTGGTGTACAGGGCTTTACTCAGAAGTGATGGCAACCTCTGGGGGGCAAGCAGAGCTCAGGCAATATTCTGGACATTTCCACACCCAGAAAAGAGCCCCTGACTTCAGAAAGGACCTGTGATAAAACTCTCTACCTGACACTGTGCTGCCCTCCTGTTCACGAGGGAAGCAATTTCTATCTGTAGCTGCCCCACATCTCGGTGGACCCCTTACCCGACCTGGGGACCACTCCTCAAACACCATGCTACGTTGGCCAGCAAACCCCCCTCCCCCAGCTCCTCTGCATGCGGTCTGTGCCTCAGCCCCTTCTACAACCTGGCCGAAGATTAGCGCAGAAGATGACAAAGTACATTTGACATACCCATCTTGCTGTCTCCCTGAGATAATATTAAGTCCTACTTCCTGGTTTGTTTGTTTTTTCCTTTCCTGTGCATAAGTGGTACTGTTGTTGCTTTTTAACTATGGTTAAGGTCAAATTATACATTTATATCTGGCTTTATTAATTTAACATCGTAACATAAATACTTCCCCGGGTTACTATAAACTCTTTGGGATTTTTTTTTCCAGTAGTGACCTTCATAATATTGTGCTGAGTGACCATACCAAAATTTACTTAAACATTCAGCATCTGTGGATATTGTCTTGTTTCTAGGACTTTGCACTACAAATTATGCAGAATAATTATATTTATTTATTAAACTAGCTCAGTGTCTGGCACATATTAAGCAATCAAAAATTTGTTGAATGCATAAAAAAATTTGTTGAATGCATAAATGAAAGAAGCTTTTACTATATATTCAAATATGACTTCCAGAAGATGGTATAATAAGAGTAATAATAGCAGCTATTATATATTGGGGGCTTATCATGTGCTGGGTGATATGTCAGATGCCTTACAAACATCATCTCATTTAATACTCAGGACAACTCAACGAGAGAGGCATTATTATCCTCATTTTATGGGTGATGAAACTGAGACACAGAAAGCCTAAGCAACTTGTTAAGCAGACACTTAACTAGTGTAAGTGCCTTTCAGCCCGTCTGTACCAATTCACTTCCCACTCAGGCTGTCTGAGTGCCATTTCCCTGTGTCCTTCGTAACACTGGGAATTACATTTTTTAATCTATGCAATCTAGCAGGTAAAAAGATGTACCAAAGGATTGTTTTAATTTGTATTTTCAATTATTATTATTTTTTGGGGGGGCTGCACCACACAGCATGCGAGATCTTAGCTCCCCGACCAGGGATAGAACCTGCTCTCCCTGCAGTGGAAGCGCAGAGTCCTAACCACTGGACCACCAGGGAATTCCCTTGATTATTGTCAAAGGTGAACTTTTTCTCCCATTTTTATTTCTTCCCTGGTGAATTTCTGGTTTATGTACTTTGTCCATTGGTCCATTTTTCTTATTGATTTGTAAGACTTCTTCATGTTGTGTGGCATATATGTTACCAGTATTTTTTGCAAGTTTCTCATTTGCCTTTTAACTTTGACTGTAGCAATTTAAATAATTTATATAGTGAAATCAGTCTTCTTCTTATGGTTAATCCCTTGGGGTCGTATTTAGAAAGTCATTCCCCACCCCCAAATCATGTAAATATTCACTTATATTTTCTTCTAGCAACTCTTTTAGTATACATGTACATACACACATATATAAAAAGTACATATGTATATTCATAATTTTAAAATCTCATGCTTATTTAAATACTATAGAAATAAATAAAATATAAAAGGAAGCTTCTTATAACCTTATTCCTTGGACATAATAAGCATTGCTATGAGTTTGGTAAATATTTTTCCAGACATTTTTTTCTACTCATAGGCACACATACATATACATATAATTCTTCTAACATGGAGTTTTGTTTTTCACTTGAAATACATCATTACATCTTCCCTATCAGTATATATAGATCTACCTTATTTTTGGTAACTGCTGCATTACAAGTCAGTTTATGAATACATCACAACTTACTAATTACTCCCTTATGGAAAGCACGTTAAGGGCATTAACTTGGCACTAGCAGTGAATAGCTATCCAATGTGATTCTTTTTCCTAAACAGCGATTGATGCTCACTTTTAAGAGAGCCTCTTCGTAGTGGGACCTGGATTCACGAGACAAAAGAAAGGCATAGTGCTGGGCTATCCTGTCGAACAGCTTACTCTGGACTTCCTTCTTTGGCTACCAGGAATAAAAACGGAGAAGGAATTACTAGAGCCCCTGTTGAAGCGGTCAAGGACTGGGAATCTTAACTAAGTATTTCTCTCATTTTTAGGAATCTTATTCTCAAGGTATTTAATCCTATATTATTTATGAAATACTACACTGATTTGTTTTATAGGATCTATAAAACACATACAGAGAGGTAGAACGTTGAGGAAAGCACCCAAACTCTGGGCCAGGCGGTCCTAACTTTACTCTCGGCCCTGCCGTTGACCAGCCATGTGACACGGACCAGTTCTTAATGCTCTGGGGAGCTGCAGGACGTGGTGCAATGTTTACAGCCCAGAGTGCATGGACGAGGCATGGGTGGGAAAGGGAGAGGGTGTGACAGATGAGGCTGCTGGGGTGGTCCGTGGAATCAGAAGGGCTTACAGCCCATGTTAAAGAGGCTGGGGTTTGTGCCATAGAAAAATAACTTAAGTGAGGGAGAGAAGCCATCGGATTTGCATTTACCTGGTATCTTTCATGAAAGATCCACCAGAAGCTATCCAGCCACATGCCTCTTACAGAAGGAGAAGAGAGAAACTGCTCTAATTCTTTATCTGAACAGAAAGACTTGAAAAGAAACAAAGTTCACATGACTATTGCTATTGCTATTGTTTATTTATTTACTTATTTATTCTTTGAAATTTACCTGGAGCCACAGCCAGATTCATAATCATCTCCACTCAAAACCTGCTTTTCCGCCTATGTTCCATGGCTTGTTATTGTCATTAATCACACCCCCTCCCCGCCAGACATCTTTGGAGTCAACACACTTTGGGGTCAACTTAAAAAAAAAAAAACACCTAACCTTTCAGTGAGTGCCAACTAGTTACCTTGCCAGGTGTTTTTACATGTTCTCATTTAACCCCTACAGTAATCATACAAGGCATGTGTTATTATCTCCATTTCACAGATGAGGAAACTGAGGATTAAACTGATGAAGTCATAGGAATTCCCTGGAGATCCAGAGGTTAGGACTCTGCGTTTTCACTGTTGAGGGCATGGGTTTGATCCCTGGTGGGGGAACTAAGATGCTGCAAGCCACGTGGTGCGGCTAAAATAAATAAATATATTACTGAAGTCTCTTGCCCAAAGTAACACAGCCAGCAAGTGGCAGAGCCAGGGTCGGAACCCATAACTCTAGGCAGTTGCTCCATGCTGTCATCTGTGTTCATTCAATATTAATCAGTATCAACAAACATAGATATTATACAGATGCAAATCACTGGACCATGAAATCCTGCTGAGTTAGCAGTAAGCATATGGAGTTCTAAAATTAGAATAGAATTATCAGTGAACTCAGAGAGGCAGAAAATTCAGGCTTCATTGTCCTAAACTGGGTCTTGAACCTTCCCTGACTCCAAAGCTGCTACCACAATAATATGTAACATTTGGTGAATGCTTGCCATGTATCAGGCTCTGAGCTATGCCGTTCATTCTTTATCTCACTATTTTTCATCATCTATCTCTGCGGTTGGTGCTGGATGATGGAACTGTTATCCCCAATTTATAGAAGAGAAAAATGAGGATCGAAAGGTTAGGATTCTTGCCTAAGCTTACACAGCCTGGGAGGCTCAAAAGCAGGCAGCCTGGCCCCAGAGACATGGTAAGGCTGCCTCTCCTCTTACCATTAGGAGGAGCAGAGATCTCTCTCTTGCCCCCATCCTGGATGCAAAGGGAAAGACTCCTTGGCACTCCCTTCAAGCCTACAGAAGCTGAGGGCATGGTGCATTGATACACAAGCCACCCTAGTTAGCAAGGAGCTCTCTGAGCCCTGCTCTTGGCTTTGTCTTTTCCGCCATTCCTCACGTTTCCCTAGAGAGGCAGTATCGTCAGAGAGGTGGAGAGAACAGACTCTGATACCGCACTGCCTGGATTCTAATCCAGCTCTTAAGCTTATTAGCTGCGTGACCCTGAGCACTGTTACTGAAACTGTCTGCGCTCAATTTCCTCATCTGGGAAATGGAGATGATGATGACGACAGTCCCTACCTCCAGGACTGCTATGAGGGTTAAATGAATGAGTGACACACACAAAGCATACATACTCACTTAGAACAGTGCCAGGCACTTAGGCAACACTTGTGCTAGTTCTTTATTGTTTATTTATTCACGCTCCTGCTTCCTTTCAAAAAGATTTCATTTCAGCTCTCCAGCAGATATTTATCGAGCACCTATGTGCTTGGGATATTGATGGAGAGTCCCTGCCCTGAAGGTGTTCACAGGTAAACAGACATGTGAGAGAAAGAATCCCAGGAGGAGGCAAGTAAAAGTTTGGGATGGCCCCCGAGCAGGATGGAAGAGGGTCCTTTTAAAGGCAGGGCACAAATCTGCCTTGGGTTTCCTGGGAGCCAAAGAAAAGCAGGAACCAGCATCAGTTATAAGACTAAAAACATTCCAGTAGATGCACAGTTTTTCTTGGGATTAAGGTCTAAGGAAAACATTCCCCATGGGACCTAAAAAATGGGACATTAAGTAGCATAGTTGTCACTGTCCTGGGGGCCACACACAGCAAATGGAGTAAGAGCACATGTGGCTGGGCCAGCGGGCCTGTCCGGGGCAGCAAAGGTGCTGGAAGGTCTCACAGGAATGGCGGATCTGTGAAACACACCATCCATTTCCAAAGGTCTTTCTTCCATTTTTAAATTATAGAAAAACGAAGAAGAAAAATCTATAATCTTGTACACCTGAAACTAACACAACATTGTAAATAAACTATATTTCAATAAAATTTTTTTAAAAACTACAATCTTATTACTCAGAGAATGCTAGTGATAGCTATGTATGGTTTCACCCCAGATTTTCCTGTGTGTGTTTACGTAACATTGTACTGCAGTTTTATATACCGATGTTTTTCATTTAACAACATAGCATAGCATGTTAAAATACACTCTTCATAAATATTCATTGTAGTGGCTAAGTAGCCCATCATGTATAAACCAAAAATGACTGTACTGTTCTTCTATTATTGATCATTAAACTTTTCCAGTAACATTGATAACAAAAACTATCATTTTTTGAGCAATTATGACTTACTAAGTACTGTGCTAAGTGTACTTATGTATATTATCTTATTTAATTTTACAACAATACTTCAAGGTAGAGACTATTGTTAT